TGGGTGGGGGGGGGGGGGGCGCCGCGCGGGCCGCGGAGCGGGAGCCGCGGGCCTCACCCTCTCCCGCGCAGGTCACCTGTGGCTGTTCCGGGACGCGGGCACCAACGACGGGCTGCTCGTGAACCAGCAGGAGCTCTTTGTCGCCGCCCGCGACGTGAGCAAGGCCGACATCACGCTGCCAGGTGAGGCCCAGGAGGGCGCGGGGCCTCCCGGCCTCCCTCGCGCGAGCGCGGTGCTGAGCGAAGCGACGCGGAAAGCACAGCGGGTCAGGAGTGTCCGTAGAGCTGCATCACTGCCTTCTTTTGAAAAGACACGGCTTGCGTTTCTGAGATTTTCTCCAATGCCTGATGGGTTTGTGTAGATCTCAGTGCAGCGAGCAGAACTTTCCCTCTCCCCCAATAACCCCAGCGCGATGCGAGTGGCTCTGCGCCGCCTTGTTTTCTCTATTCTGGAAGAAGTAGCCTCTGTGGCACCGGGCGCTTCAGGCACCAGTGAAAGCCCGGTGCCCATCTCAGGGGCAGTTTTGTTCTGTTTTGTTTCGCCTCAGTGTTCACCCTGAAAGAGAGATGTCTGCAGGTTGTTCGCAGCCTGGTCAAACCCGTGGACTACAGGAAACTGGACATTGTCCGATCACTGTATGAAGAGCTGGAAGATCATCCTGACATTAAGAAGGATCTTCTGCGGCTTTCTCTGGAGAGAAGTGAAACACTACAGAATGGAGCTTCAGAATAAAAGTAATGTTATTCATTCCAGGCTCTCTAAATGGCAAACCGCTGAGTTTAAGCAGGGGTAACAGCCTGAAACAGGCCAGGAGCTGAGGTCTGTATTTCATGTCCTGAGACGTATGCTCACTCGGGCGAGGCACACACAAAAACCTCAGAAGTCCAGACGCTGTGTAAACCTGCCAAGCTGCTGATGGATCCGTTCTGCTCTTAGCTGTGCATATCGCAGCCCTGCAGCTTTAGAGGCCTCGCGTGCGTGGAGCTCAAAGGAGAATTTTACCTTGCTCTGTTCCAGAACACGCCACATCAGTTTAAGATAGGGTCATCTATAGAGAGAATATGCATACAGATCAACTTGCTCTGTTTTAGAAAGTAAATTACACCAAGGATTAATTCAGTTTAGATGCTAACAATTATAAGGGGCAGGATAACAGCAGTTTTGGCCAAATAATTTGATTTTGGTAGAATCCCACTTTATCCCACTTAGGCTAAATTTGCCTGTGGTTCAGAAAGCGCAGTGGATGTGTGCGGGGGCTTGCATGACCTTCCAAGGGCCTGACCCAGAACTCTATGTTTTTGGAAAGATGCAAAAGCTTGGGGTTTTTGGCCTTTGTATTTATAAACCCGTGTGCTAGTAAGGCTTTGAGGTTGAGGGACCATACCATTAATGCCTTATTTGTCCTTGGTTACCAGATTCCTCTCAGGTTTATCTCGGGTTATTCAGCCTGCCCAGCCACATTGGCTGTATCCCGGGCCGGGCTCCTCTCCTCTCTGCTCCCGCAGCCCCCCGTAGAGCTGCACGAGCAGCGAGCTCAGCAGGTAGGTGCTCCGAGCCCTGTCTCTCCGCCTGCAGCCGAGCAGTGTCCGGCATTTGGGTCCGAACGGGAGCCTTTTCCTGGGAGCAGGAGCCACTTGGGCTGCTAGTGTCCCCTGAGGGACGGACAGGAGCCTCTGTCGGCTCATTGAGCCTGTGGCCAGATCCAGCGCGCAGATCCATCTACACTTTATTTCAGGCAGGCCAGGTGAGCAAAGGAAAACTTCCTTTGACTATATGCCATTCCCCTTGTTCCTGACGAGCATGTGGACTTGTGTGCATGTACATACACGTGCAGTTCACAGCAGCCTCGTTTTTAGTGGGTATGAACTGTGGACCACACTGAAGATGTAGTGCTGGGCCACGTTAAAAGCAGATGGATGCAAGGTTATAGCAGGTTGTTTGTGGCATGTTTCTTTCCAGTTACATGTAGACATTCTGAGAACATAGCTGTGAAACTGAATGACTGACAGTGTCAACCAATTCTGTTATGTATGACTTGTTTCCACTTCTTGTACATTTGTTTTTCTTAACATATAATGTATGAACTGATACTTGTTATTAGTCATAAAATGTAAATCTGCACCAACTTTTTGAGTCTTTCGTAGTTCTCTCACAGTACTTGTAAGCGTGTGCGTGCTTTGCTGCTGTCCCCTTAGAAGTGATTTAGTCATTTAGCATCCTGCAGCTGCGGGAGCGCTCGCGGCTCGCGCTGCCCCGGCTCCGGTGGCGCCTGCGCTGGCACACAGCCCCAGCGAGGCTATAACATCATTATAACATCATAACAACATCATTATGTTTCTTAGGATTTCGTAAAAGACAAGAGAAACAAGATTTCATAAGCAAGCTTACTGCTTAGATGAGGTCTGAGATCTCTTGTGTAGCTCACTGGAACTGTTTTAACTTCACTAGTTGGTGACTTCGTCCAGCATAGAGCCAGTCAGCACAACGTCAGTGCAGCGGTGATCACCAGTGCATCAGATTCCTTGGATTTCTGAATGCTAGAGAAGGCACCGATGTGCCTGCGACCTGCTGGAAACAAACACACCGCTGCCTCCTGCTCTCGTTACTCCCAGCAGGTCCTGTCCTTGCTCAACTCCTGGGTACGTCTACGGCCACCCGGGGCAACGCGGGCACGTAGCCGAGAGCCGCTCCGGCTGGGCAGGGACCGCTGCCGGGTGCCGCGTGGCAACTCACCACGGTTCTGCCAGACTCGAGGGAGGCTTTTCTGTCCATCCTGTGGGAAACTGACTTGTGAACAGATAGATCATGGTGTAGAAGGACCCGCCAGTCCCAGAGAGCGACACCGAAGAGGGCACGCGCAGGGCAGGGAGTCCAGGTTGTTCACACGGATTAAACTGCACAGGGACTGAGTAAAACGCAGACGCGATGTCAGGACAGAGGCTCAGTTGCTCAGTTATTTGCTGCAAGCTGCAGTAACATATCCACACGATCTCTGTACCTTGTTTTCCCCCCAGTTCATGTTTCAGAAGTGAAACAGATTTAATTCTTTGGAAGACACTGGTCATTTCCCACTGAATCCCAAATAGAAGGCAGCATTTCTTTGAATCATTGAGGTATGTGAGTCCCAAAAGGGGAATTCAAAAAACTACTTCATTTCCACTGTTGGCTGTTGCATAGTTAGGCACTGTAGCATCTAATTTCCATCAAAGTCCTTGAATCCACTTTAAGAGCTTTATGCCACCCTTTCACACTGCACACCTCTGATTCCTTTTTGTGCAGCCAGTATGAGAATAACATATTTTCATATTTTTCTACATAGTTTGTAGAATAACAGGTTTTCTGGTGAATAATATGTATTTATAGTGACAGGCAATCCATGTCTGAAATTTGTATTTCCTGTAGGTGGAATAACAAAACTCAGTTTCCATTTTGCGGAGGGAAGTCGTACAGGGAGGAGAGACTGAACACACCCCGGGTCCAGCGCGGAGCCCGGGCCGCAGCTCTGCTTTCCTTCCCCCAGCTGCTCTCTCTTCTAGTAATGCGGATACATCTTCTTGTTCCACCAATTCTGTAAGAATTCAGCTCTTTAGCTCTCACCCGTTCGTCCATCCGAAGAGACAACCCTGATGTTGGCAAACCATGGGTTGTCCCCGCAGACACGCACTAGGCTCAAGGAGAGCAGCCTCCCCTGCCAGCTGCCCCACGGGCACCCACACGTCTCGCCCAGGCCGGGCAGGGCTTGCAGTGACACCCGTGAGTCCCGCCGCCCTCCGCGCGGCACGGCGGGGTCGCCGCTGCGGCTGGTTCTGCTGCCGTGTTAACCGGCACAGCGGAGCCTGTTAAAGCAGCGCCCTCCGTGCGGGGCAGAGCAAAGCAGCCAAAGTGCCAGCGCGAGACCCAGCCACGGACCGGTTCAGTGAGTCCTCACACCAGCTCGTGTTCTGTTATTCAGGGGCATCCTGGCATAGAAACAATTTGATTACACACTGTCGCTGGAATTGCAAATGTGATCATTCATAATAGTTCTCACACCTTTTGGTTTCCGTTCCTCTGGTGAACACTTGGCCTGATGTTTACTCCACCTGAAGGACACTGAGACAAGGAAGTAACTGATAGGAGAAGCAGTTCCATCAGGACAGTTGCCTTTCAGAGCGGGTCCATAAATGCTAATGCGAGAAGTCGGGGTCTTTAAACAACCCCTATTGATAAAATCTGATTTAAAAAGGACTTTGCATGAAGTTTTGAAAAGATGGCAAACTTAGAGAGAAATCATCAATGTGTACAGGAAAGTATGTTTTTCTTCTCTTTTCAAAAGCTGCTTTATATTAGAGGCGAAAAGACTAGAGAAAACCCCAGCAAGCTCTAACATACGAATATCTAAAAAGGGAGCCTCCCATCCGTGTTATTCTGCCAGCTTAGATTTGGTGAACTCAGCCAACGAGTGAAAATGGTGCCTTAGCTGCGAGTGCTGCCCCACAAACGTGCTCAGCTCAGACCGGGCCTCGGCCGAGCGCCGCAACGGGGGCGCTCCGGCCTCGCTCCGGGCGGAGGGCAGGGAGATGCCGAACGGAACCGGGCGGCAAAGGGCGCTGCCTCTGCCCGGGCCCTGCCTGGGGGCGAGGGCTGCACTCGAGCGTATAGGACGGCTCTCGCTTCAGTGGGAAAAGGTGATTTTCACTTCCCTGTGAAACCCTCTATTGCACAACATGGTGAGCGCCCAGCTGAAGCCCTGCTCACAGTTCGAGGCATTTTTAGGCAATAGTGGACAAACTATTTACTTTTTTCTCTCTTTTTCTCGTGAGGCAAAGAGTCTACAAAGACCCAAGGGGAAGAGCATGTTATTTCCAGCCTTTGTCCATCTTTTTGCAACAGTGATTTCTCTCTCATCTTATGTGAGTTTAGGAGCCCTGCTCATCTCTTGGTGGCAGGGAATTTCGGTATGTATGAGAGGAAAGTGAGCAGGGAAAAGAGATCAAAATAAAACAGTTTTAACTATTATTATCATAAAACTTGTCACAAGTCATTTAAATAACAATACAGTTTGGCCCTTTTTATATTTTGCTGTTGCCCTTTAACCTTGCACCTATATTATTATTAATTTTAAACTTTTCAGTTTCTACTTGCCACAATAGGGCAAGAAATAGTAACTTTAGTGGCGCCTGAAGGATTCATGACCTCGGGGGAGAACGTGTAGCTAAAGGCCCCGCTGGAAGGTCTGGCGCTGTGAGGACAGGAGTCAGTGCGGGACAGACCGCGGGAAACTCGCGGGACGGTCCGGGAA